TAGCCACAGGCTAAAGTTCAGGTTTGGTCTGAAGGCACCCTTCCTGACGAAATGAGCAGTGTGTTAGAAGGGCCAGGGAGCACTGCTGGTGTGTATTGGAACCTGTAGAACATGGTTCTCTTGACCATTAATCATCTTTCCTGTCAGTTAACATTTTCAATCAAAAAATTATAAGAAATAGAAGGCCCTTGTCTTTTAAATTTGACAAATGCATTTTTTTTAGGTCTAATAAGGAACCAGACTGTGACAAATTGTTATGAAATTATATATTTTGGTAATGGGTATTTTGGATAAATTCACTTAAGTATTATGTAAGTTGATAAAATACAAAAGAACATTTAGGATTAGTATGATTTGTTGCCAATATATAAAGCCTTATATCACATTTATTATCATTTAAACATAACACTTATTAATTATTGTCCTATAATTAATTTTTACTATTAAGAAGATGTTTCAGCCATACTATAATTTATAATTTAGCCAACATATATTCTAAATATTTTAAAATTTTATTATCAAGACAATAATCAGTTTTGAAAGAAATATTGCTAAATGATACTATAAGAATTCATTAAAAATAATTATTAAGAACATATAAGATTTAGCAGCATTTTCTTCATTTTCAGAAACAGAAGTACTTTATATTTTTAACTTTATTTTTCTCATTTAGATGTTTTCCTGAACTATTTAATTTTCACTTTCTCTTCAACTTCATTAACAATATAATTACTGGAAGGTGTGTTTTAATTAAATGTGGAGGATAAACAATAAGTATATTTTAACTAACTAAAATATTATAGTAAAATTAAAGTAACAGAAAACAAGCTTGCTAGGAGCTTGGTGCAAGGATATTTAACTACAAAGGGGCAGAAGGAAATTTTAGGGGTGATGAAACTTTGTGGTGCTGGTTACATGACTATGCATTGGTCAACTGTTCTTAAATGTCTTTAATAGGGTGGCTTTTACCATATGTAAATCAGACCTTGAAAATAAATGACAAAAATTAAAAATATTAGAGCACTTACAAATAAGATCTTAGGCAAAAGTAATGTAACTCAGGGAAATGAAAATTAACTTTCCATAGCAAAAATCTAAAACAAAACATTACCTTCTTTTGCATGTTGGCCTATTTACTTCTCTTATTGAATAATGTCTGGCTTGATTATGAACCTGAATCTATAAATGGCTTTGTTTGATAAAACATTTTTATTATATGTATTTAGGACCTGAAGGCAATACCAAGGTTAAATAAATCAATTAATAAGAAAAAAATGTAACTTGTCAACAACATAAAAATAATTATTCTTGATAACTTACAGGAATCATTGTGTAATGCTTAGTAAAAAGCTTTATTTTAAACAACTCTCAGCTTCCATCATGTTGACTATTCATTAAAAACCAAAAGGTACACAGCTAATGGAAAGCTTTGCTATAGAAGGTTATGCTGGAAATAGTTTTAAAAATAGAAAATCCAATCTTTGACTACATGTAAAATGCTTGCTGAGGAAAATATATTGGTAACTATGACCTAACAGTTCTGAGCTTCTTAAAGAAGCATTCACAAACAGGTGTGTGTGTGTGTGTGTGTGCGTGTGCGTGTGTATGTGCATACATATACAGGGTGGGGCAAAAGTAGGTTTACAGTTGTTTGTATGGAAAATAATACAATAATTTATTAATAATAATACAAGAATAAACTGTTTCCCATAGTCACGACTATAAACCTACTTTTGCCCCACTCTGTACTTTTTACACACATACTAAAATGTATGTACATATTTTTCTCTATAAGAATTCTGTTTTAAAATTAATTTTATTATTAAAAACTTAATATTTTTGTAACTACTTTGAATGGAAACTCATGTCTACTGCTCACACAAGAGTAAATTGATGTCATAAAGTTACTAACTAGGAAATTAGTATATATTTCTTAGTGAAATGACAGTCAAAATATTTTCTACCACTAGGATAAAATTAGTAAAAATTTGATGAGAAAAAAAAAAGAAGAAGAAGCTTTCAAATTCTAAATTGTCTCTCATTAAGACACACTTCTGGCTTTTGTAACTTTTGAGCAGCATACTCCAGACATACTGAGCTTTTACTCAGTTATTATCTGCATATGACTTTCTTTTCAATGACAGGTATGCCTTTCTTAAGCAACCTCTATTCAACTCTCAGGCTCCAGCTCAAATATCATCTCTTCTGTAAAATTTTCTCCTTTGCCAAGTGATTAATAATACTTGTATTGAGATAGTCTGTGAGCAAACACTCCATCTACTAGTTATTTACATATATCTATTGCTTAGTAGGTAGAAGCTGTTTAAAAATTTTTACTTGAGTTGAAATACTTGTAAAATTTATCCTGTATCTAGTTTTAATTTTCCCATGACAACTCTTTTTAAACATTTCTACTTAGTGTGCAGTCGGAGAACTTACTTTGAAAGGAATTATAATCAATACAGTAATTAACTGCCATGGGGAGAAGCCAGAGAGACTCTTATTTATACAACTAGAGGCCCGGTGCACAAAAATTTGTGCACTCGGGGGGAGGGGGGGTCCCTCAGCCCAGCCTGTGCCCTCTCACAGTCTGGGACCCCTCGGGAGATAACGACCTGCTGGCTTAGGCCTGCTCCCGGGTGGCAGAGGGCAGGCCCAATCCCTAGGTGCAGCCCCTGGTCGGGCTCAGAGCAGGGTCGATTGGGGAGTTGGGGCGCAGCCCCCTGTCACACTCAAGGCAGGGTCGATGGGGAGGTTGCGGGGCCACCCCCTATCACGCACAGAGCAGGGCCAATCAGGGGGTTGGGGCACCGCCACTCTCACACTCAGGGCAGGGCCAATGGGGAGGTTATGGCTCTACCCCATCACACACAGAGCAGGGCCCTTGGGGGGGCGGGGGGTTTGGGGAGCTCCCCCTTGTCAGGCACAGAGCAGGGCTGCTCAGGGGGTTGGGGCCCCACCCCCTGTCACACACAGAGCCGCAGGGCGATCAGGGGGTTTGGGTGCTGCCCCCTGTCACGCTGATCCCGGTGCCGGGAGGCATATCACCCTTTTACTATATAGGGTAGAAGCCTGGTGCATGGGTGGGACTGGCTGTTTTGCCCTGAAGGGTGTCCTGGATCAGGGTGGGGGTCCCCACTGGGGTGCCTGGCCAGCGTGGATGAGGGGCTGAGGGCTGTTTTCAGGCTGGGAGTGACTGAAGTTCCCAACCGCTCCTTTTTTTCTTTTTTATTCTGGGCCAGCTTTACCTTGAGGCTTGGCTCCAGCTCTTAGGCCTCCGCTGCTGAAAGTAGGTTTCTGGCCTTTGCTTACAATGTTGCGAATCTGCTGGCTGAAGTCCGGCGGTATTTGTTACAATGTTTCTTAAACTGCCCGCTCAGAGGCCTGCAGTGGCAGGCGGGGAACGTTGGTTTCCTCCAACGATCCTCCGTCACTGAGGCAAGCAAGCCTCATGTTAGTTTCAAGCTGTCTGGCTGCCGGCCGCCATCTTGGCTGACAGTCAATTTGCATGTCTTGCTGATTAGCCAATGAAAAGGGTAGCGGTCGTATGCCAATTACCATGTTTCTCTTTTATTAGTGTAGATTAAATCATCCTGAAACTGTCATTCATTTGTTCTCTTAACAAATGATCATTTGGACAAATATCAGGTGCTATGATAGACACATAGATAGTGAGATATAAGGAGAAATTAGAAAACAGATGTCGTTTTTAAATATTTTGTAATTTACTGGAGGATTAGCTCATCACACAGATGAAGATAAATTATTATGGGAAATCAAAAAAGAGGAAATGCTTAGTGAAGCAAGATGCATTTGTACTAAACTATATAATAAAAGTGAACATCAAAGGGTTGATAATAGTACTCACATCAAGGGGCCATTTGTGATGATTAAATAAACTTTTATATATGAAAGAAATATTTAAACAATAGAAATCTATATAATATTCAATATTAAAATTTGAATATGGAAAAATGGAGTCAGAGAGAATCTTTAGTGGAAAATATAGCAAGAACAGAGATTCCATAGTTTTGTCTTTGTTATATAGGAAGTGAAAGACCATTGCAGAAAAGGAACTACAGTAAAATGAGAATAAAGACTTGGACATTTTCTTCCGTAAGTATAGGAAATGGAGAATTTTGGATGGATGGGAGTAAGAGTGCAAAAGGGCTCTTCATTCTTTTATTAGCCAAGAACAATATATTCTAACACACAAAATCAATTCTTAATTTTAATGTGAAATATTATTAAAACAATGGTGACCAGATTATCTCTTTTCCATATAAGATTGGTATACAGAGTAGTGATCCATTAAAAATCTTTATTTTTTACCCCCAATCCTCACCAAAGGATATGTTTTTTATTGAATTTGGAGAGAAGAGGAAGGGGTAGAGAGAAAGAGAAAAACATTGATTTGAGAGAGAAACATTGATCAGTTGCCTCCAGTCAGCACCCTGACTAGGGATCAAACCTGCAACTTAGGTATGTGCTCTGACTGGGAATTGAACCCACAGTGTTTTGGTGTATAGAATGGGATGATGCTCTAACCAACTGAGCCAATCAGTCAGGGCTCCATGAAAAATCTTGTTTAAACCATTCAAATACCAATTTTCTAAGTAACAATAGTCTTTATGAGTGGAATGTAAAAATAAAAAATGAGAATTAAAGAAAAATAATAGCAATAAAAATGATATGTAATGCCACAATAGAAAAAAAAAATTCTACAGTTACACAAATAACAAATATTAAGCAAGTTGGGGTAAATGACTCCATATTTAGAAAAAAATTATTAAAATCAATATTAATATTAAATAATTTGTCTTTATACCCATATCCTTTGAAACTTAAAATTTACACTTAAAGCTGGTTTTATCGATTCTTAGCCAGGATATTTTAAACCTAATAAGAACAGTTGCTAAATAGTATTCGTATGTCTATGCATTTTCTATTTTTCCTAAGTATAAAATACAATGTAATTCTTAAAGTAAAAATATACTTACTCAAATGAGGATTAACAGGAGCTACAAAAAAGCAAAAAATAATGTTAGAATGGTTTGAATGTCTTTTAGCAATAAAAGTCTAATCAGTGTCTCATAGTTCTTTACCACAGCTTAATGATCTTCCCCACTGTGACCATGGAGAATTATATTTGCAATCCATTTTGTTCAAGGGGATTGACTAGATCCTACTTTGGAGCTCAGCAATAACAGCCTGAAAGTACCCAAAGATCAGTGTTTAATAGCATGTGGAATTTGTCATCTTCCAAAAAATGGAGTTGCTGACCTTTTATATCTTAACCAGTTCTAAGCAAAATGCAGAAATAGAAACTGAGGCTGACAATAGGACAATATATAATCTAGATGTTTTAATAATGAAAGCAATTATCCAACAGAGAGTATACCTTAGGTTTTTTTGGCTGCTATTTACTTCTGGTGAAAATAAAATGGTATATATGAAAGTAAAGCAATCTTCATATCACATTATGTATGTGTCCTAAAACAAATCGCCACTTCAGTGGTGCTTTGTTTAATTACATTCACACACAGGTGTGCACACACAAATAGTTTTCAAATCTTAAGGAACACATTTGAATTTTTGTGCACCAGAAGAAATATTTATCTCAAAAAGGCTAATTGTGTTTGCAAAAAAGTAACAATTGATTTTTTAAAAGACTGTACTTTTATTGCTTTTTTAAACAGAGGAAGGGAGAAGGAGAGAGAGAAACATCAATCAGCTGCCTTCTGCACACTCTCTACCCTGGATGGAGCCCACAGTCTAAGCCTGTGCCCTGACAGGTCATTGAACCTGCAATCTTTTGATGCACTCAATCAACTGAGCCACACCTACCAAAGCACCAGTTGCTTTCTAGTTGAAGAGTATTAAACACTTTAAATTTTACTAAAACAACAACAAAAATATATCTACCCTAAAAGACAAATGGTATCTGTAGATATTGAGTAATTATTTATCACTTGGAAAGAAAGTTCCATTCTGTATGAAGGAAAGCATTATTGTAGTCTCCCAAGATTACAATGGTCAACTATTATAACCTGCAAAAGTTTATGTACTCTACTGTTAATTCCTATGTTAGATATTAACCACTTATGTTAAACTTGGGACTCTACTAGTGAAGTATGAAAGTCAATAAATGTATAACATGCACAAAACATGTTCATATGTAATGTTACATTAGTACATTGAGATCAATTTTAACAAAGTGAGTTAGTTTCCTTATCAATTACTTACTTTTGCTATTTCCACATAGAGAAGAAAGACCATTCCAATTACTTTAGTTGTTTTTATTATTCTGTATTCCCCATTAAAAATGATGAAATAATTCCCCATTAAAAATGATGAAAGAAGAAACTATACATTCAGTAGTTCCATTGAAATGGAGAAAAAATGATTGTTTTTCTTTCAAAATATCAATGTATTTTAATTGAAAGTTAACTTATAAAAATCAAAATTATTTCATAATTAAAATAATATTGTCTATGTATTATCTTTCAAAGGAGTAAACATCTGAATTATAATTTAATTCTAAGAAATAATTCACAACTACAGTTCAATTTCAATTATAGTTCACTTTCAATATTATTTTGTACTAGTTTTAGGTGTAGAGCATAGTGGTTACACAATCATATACTTTAAAAAGTGTTCCTCCCAATATTTCCAGCACTCACCTGGCACCATACATAGTTATTGCAATATTATTGACTATATTCCGATCTCTGTGTCTAAGTGACCAGACTGAATTTTAATTGTCCTCTCATATGACATATGACGTTTTTAGTCACAAAGCTCAGTAAAAATAACACAATTATCCTTGTGAAAATTTGCCATTATAAGTTCTGAATAATGAAATGAGTTCATTTTCTTATTTCAATGAAACTTGATGTCTAATTTCATATAAATACAGGTATACAGTTAAAGTATATTTTATTCCAACCTATATTAAATTAGTAATTTTAATGAAATGTTTACAATTTTAATATGTATACTTAAGAATGTAAAGATAATTAAAGAAAATTACAACTAAGCATAATATTTATTTTCAAGATTTATTTATTTATTTTATTTTATTTTTGTTACTCCTCACCTGAAGATATTTTTCCATTGATTTTTAAAAGAGAGTGGAAGGGAGGGGGAGAGACACACAGAGAGAAACATTGATGTGAAAGACACATTGATTGGTTGCCTCCTTGCACCCATCTGACAGGGGTCAGGGGTTGAGCCTGCAATCAAGGTACAAGTCCTTTACTGAATTGAACCTGGGACTCTTCATTCTTCATGCTGATGTCTCTCCAATGAGCCAAACTGGAGCTCCAGATTTTTTATTTTAGTTTGTTGCCTCATATCCTATATAATAAAAGCCTAATATGCTAAGCATCTTATCATTCGTTTTACCATTTAATCAGTCACTATGACGTGCCCTGATCACCAGGCGGCAGATGCTCTGACTGATAGGTTAGCTTGCTGCTGGGGTCTGACCAATCAGTACTGGGCGAGATGGGCCAGACACACCCTGGAGCCCTCCCGTGGTCTCTCCCTGGCCCTGATCAAAATTATTTCATAATCAAAATAATATAATAATATCTATGTATTATCTTTCAAAGGAGTAAACATCTCTGAATTATGATTTAATTCTAAGAAATAATTCACAACTGGTTCTACTGAGTTTATAGTTTCATAATTGTTTAACTTTATAAGACACTAAAACTTCCTGAATCTGATATCTTCAACTTTTAAAGAATAAAATTAATGCATAGTTTCTAATACCCCCCCATATTAAACAGTCCAAGTTTTATAACTTGGGGGTAAGGAAAATAAACATTAGATAAGAGGAGATATTGTATTATGTACCCACCACCCAAAGTGAAACCATCTTCTGTCACCATATACTTGGCAACTTTACCCTTTACTACTCCCCACCCCCTTGGGGTGGTGGGCACACAATGCAATATACAGATCATGTGTCATTGAAATGCAAACTTAAAACCTATATGATCTCATTAACCAATACCACCCTAATAAATTTAATTAAAACTAAAATAAAAGAGAAGAGGAGATAATATTTCATATTTTAAAAAACATATAAAACTAAAACTTTAGAAAAATATATTGGGATGCTATCTAGTGTCTGCCCAATGAAATAATGGTAGTGATTAAAAAATATCAATTGTATTCTGCATAATATATAAATATCACTAACATTAAAGGTACTAGAGGCCTGGTGCCTGAAATTTGTGCACTGGGGGGTAGGGGTCCCTCAGCCCAGCCTGCACCCTCTCACAGTCCCAGAGCCCTCAGGAGATGTCCTACTGATGGCTTAGGCCCACTCCCCATGGAGCAGTCAGGCCATGGAGGCTCGGAGCAGGTGCCCTGTGTGTGTGTGTGTGTGTGTGTGTGTGTGTGTGTGTGTGTGTGTGTATGTGTGTGTGTGCTGTGGAGGCTCGGAGCAGGCACCCCTCTGTGTTGATCTCTCAGGCTCCAGCTGCACATGCATATTATTCTCTCAGACTGGGGCCACATCCGGCCCCTCCTCCTGAGCTGCTTGTGACCATTAGGGAGTCCCGACCTCTTTTGCATATTATTCCTTTATATATATATAGATATTTTCTTTCTTTCTTTCTTTCTTTCTTTCTTTCTTTCTTTCTTTCTTTCTTTCTTTCTTTCTTTCTTCCTTTCTTTCTTCTTTTTTTTTTTTTATTAATCCTCATCTGAGGATATTTTTCCATTGATTTTTAGCGAGAGTGGAAGAGAGAGAGGGAAAGTAAGAGAGAGACATCGATGTGAGAGAAACATACCAATCGGTTGCCTCCTGCACAAGCCCTGACCAGGGCCTGGGCCGGGGAGGAGCCTGCAACCAAGGTACGTGCCCCTGACCGGAATCAAACCTAGGACCCTTCGGTCCATAGGCCGATGCTCTATCTACTGAGCCAAACCGGCTAGCAGGGGTGGGCAAACTTTTTGACTCAAGGGCCACAATAGGTTCTTAAACTGGACCGGAGGGCTGGAACAAAAGCATGGATGGAGTGTTTGTGTGAACTAATATAAATTCAAAGTAAACATCAGTACATAAAAGGGTACGGTCGTTTTTTTTTTTAGTTTTATTCATTTCAAACGGGCCGGATCCGGCCCGCGGGCCATAGTTTGCCTATGGCTGGGGGGTATAGATATTTTCAAAAGACACATTTAAAAAAAATGGAGTGATTCTAATACCTTTACATTCTTTGATCTTTAATGAATATTCCGCTCTACATTACACAAGGTAACACAAAAGTAGGTTTACAATTGTATGTGAAACACAGTTTATTCTTGTATTATTATTTATTAATTATTTTCCATATAAATTACTGTAAATCTACTTTTGTTCTATCCTATATATATCGTAATCTTTTCATGAAAATTGAACATCATACCCAATATACTCTGACTAATGAGAAAAGAGTGAAGAAAAAGAGTGGTTTAATATGAAAAATAAGTTTTAATGAGTTATTAATTTCACTTTACTTTTTATTTATGATAGCATTCACTCTTTCTTACATAAAAAATATAGTTAATGTTAAACAGAATGGAAACTTTCAACTGCAAAAATATATATTGTATTATCTTTTTAAATCAAACTCTGATGACAAAAAAAGAATAATATTTACCTGCATTAATGAAATAAATATGAAATATATTGACACTGATTCACTCAAGCCTGAACATACTTTGACAGTTCTGGAGCTAGCCATTGCTATTGTTTATACTCTTTAGATAAAGTTTTTAATCAATTATTTTACAGTTTTATATAAGTTTTAATTTTTTCTCAAGTAGGACATGTAAATAGTGAAGAAATATAAAATGCATGTAGTTTATGAAGACACACTGTCACATACAGACTCACATGGACATTTAGATATTTTTAACATTAGCAATATAAAGAAAATAATGCCCCAAAGAGTCTACTAAGATGCTCTTCAGCAATAGGTGAATGGATAAAGAAACTATAATACCTCTATACATGGGACATTATTCAACAAGAAAATGAAATAATTATCAAGCCACAAACAACATGGAAAAACTTAAATGTGTATTGCTCAGTGAAATAAGCCAGTTTGAAAAGGCTGCATGCTGTATGATTTCAACATTTTGGTAAAAGCAAAATTGCAGATAATAAAGAATGAGATCAATGGTTCTGAGGGTTGGAAGAAGAGAGGGGCAGATAGATGGAGCAGAGTGACTTTTTAGGAAAGTGAAACTATTCTATGTGGTTTTGTAATGGTGGATAAACAACATCACACACTTCTCAAAATCCATAGAACTGTAAACACAAATAATAAATCCTAATGTAAACTATTTACTTTAATAATAAAATGTCAATATCAGTTAGCCAATTGTAACAGTTGTTCACTTAATATTAGATGTTAATAACTGGGAAAACTGTGTCGGGGTAGAGGGCATATATAAGATCTGTCTAGACATTCTTCTCCATTTTATCTAACCTTAAAGTTATTCTAAAAGAAAATAAAGTCCATTAGTTTAAAAAAATTTAAAAACCTTTTTGATCACATTTGCTAACCTTTTATTTTAATGATATAAATGTTTAAGCCATCAAGAACTTGAAAAAACTAAAATGCAGAAATATTGCATCATAATTATGGGATAGAAAAAAAGAACATTGCTGACATTATTGAATAGATTTAATGTTAACTAAAACATTATTCTATATCTCTACATTCATAATCAAATATTACCACCTATGATTACGTAGTGTGGGGTTTTTTGGTCACTTAGCTGACGATCCAGTAAATCGATATGCTAAATTTTAGTTTATATCTAAATTTGGTAGATAGTTGCAAGCTACATATTACAGATAGATTAATATCAAAATAAATGCTTTTAAATAAAAGGTTACTTACCACTATATTTGATGACACGAATTGTTGAATCTCCTTCGCCAAATTTGGTGAGAGGTGTTAGTCGGACTTCATAAGCCTCTGGTTTAATTAGCTCAGTCAAATTATATGTAATTAATTCTCCTTTTTGAATATTTCCATTTATTTTAATCTCTTGTTCCCACCAACGCTGTTGTCCAGCCTGAAATCAAAACAATTATGCAATAATGTTCCCAGTATTTTCTTCAGAGGTACTTAATTGTGTTGTAACCAAATAAGGCAGGCATTCTGAAAATTTATTTAAATAAGAAAGTACTAATATTATAAATGTGTTTTATTAAAGTTCTATAATAAGCAACAAATTTTGCAGATGTTTGTGGATAATCACCAAATTATCACAGAATAACCTGTCATATAAACAGATTTAAAGTCATCTAATTTAAGAGTCAGAGAGATATAAAATAATAGTCTATTGAAGTCTCATCTGGGGACTGGGAGAGATATAAGATTACTTATTACTTAACATATTTATAGTCAACTGGTCTCTGGTGAAGACAATGAAATGGAGCAAAGACAGTATTCTCAGCAATTTTTCTAGAACACTGGACAACCCTATGCAAAATACTGAATCTAGACACAGACATTGCAATCTTCACAGCATTTAACTCAGAATGAATCTCAGACCTACAAGGAAAACATTAAACTACAAAACTCCTAGAAGATAACATAGACAATTAAGACATTGGGCTTTGCAATAACTTTTGGATACAACACTGAAAACACACTCCATGAAATAAATAACTGATAAGCTGGACTTCTTTAATTTAAAAATTTCTCATCTATCAAAGACAATATCATGAGAATAAAAACAAGCCACAGACCGGGAGAAAATATTTGCAAAAGATAAGCTGATAAAGAACTGTTACCAAAAATATATGGAGATCTCTTAAAATTCAATAATAAGAAAACAAACAAAAACATTTAAAGAAAGGGCCACAGATTTTAATAAAAAAAGATGCTTCCCATGATATGTCATCAGAGGAATGCACTACACACCTATCAAAAGATTCAATATCCAGGATACTTACAACACCAAATGCTGTCAAGGATGCAGACAACTAGGAACTCTTGTTCACTGCCGGTGGGAATGTCAAACAGGACCGCCACTTTGGAGGGTAGTGTGGTGGGTTTTTACAAAATGAAACACGGTCTTTTCATATGACCCAGCAACTGTGCTTCTTGGTATTTCCCCAAAGGAGGTGAAAACATATTCACCCAAAAATCTGCACTTGGACATTTATAGCAGCTTTATTTATAATTGCCAAAACTTGGAAGCAATCAAGATGTCCTTTAACAAGTAAGGGCAAAAATAAGTAGTGCTACAACCAGACAGTGGGATATTGTTGAGATCTATCTAGAAATGAGCTATCAGCTATGGAAAAACATGGAGGAAATGTAAACGCATATTAATAAGTAAAATACACCAATCTGAAAAGGCTACAGACTCTGATTCCAGCTATATGACATTCTGGGACAGGCACAAACATGGAGACAGTGCTTACCAGAGATTAGGGGAGAGGGAAAGGTGAATAAGCTGAGCACAGAGGATTTTTTGGACAATAAAATTACTCTGCATGATGATATAATGGGGGATACATGTAATTATAATTTTGCCCAAACCTATAGAATGTAAAACACCAAGAGTGAACCGTAATGTAAACTATGGACTTTGGCTGATAAGGATGGGTCAATGTAGGTTCATCAATTATAACAAATATACCACTCTAATAGAGGGTGTTGATATTAGGGAAGACTATGCATGCTTTGGGGGAGGGGAGTATGTTGGAAATCATTGTACATTCTGCTCAATTATTGCTATGAACCTAAAACTGTTCTAAAAATGTAAGTCTAAAAAATTTTGTTGTGCCACTTTTATAAATTTCTGTTCTTTGCATACATTTTCAGTTTTCTTTTATTTATGTAGCTATTATAAGTATAGTTGCATTATAATATGTATCTAATTTTTGTACACCTGGTGTCTATGGCATCAGCATAAACTGATAGCTAAGCTTCACATTAGCATTGGCTCCCCTTGCCTCCCAAGTCCTACAGGGTGATGCACAAGAGCCCAGTTGATTTTACACCGACTTGGGTTTGTATCACATTTGAGAATCCCTGAGCTTAAGAAAGCTTAGTATTTTGTAACTGATAGTAACCAAACCTGCTCCTGCATTACCTAAAACGGAAGCATTTATTACACCAGAGATTAAACAGACCTTCCTTGTGCTTCAGAGGGAGACACTATGCAAATGTTTGCTATGCAAATGAACTTGAAAAGAGAGGCTGGAATAAAAAGACAGTGTCTCTGCACAATAATATGAAAAAAAAAATCAAGAGATCCACAGAAAACTGTTGTCTAAAAATACAGTCTTGATGAATATGTAGAGTGGAATAGGTATGGAGAGCAATTTGGCAATAAAAACATTATTATAATGAGAACAGATAAACTCTTGTACACAAGGAGACAGGAATATTCATGGCATAGAAAACATAAAATATTCTACCAGTAAATATCAGTAAGAGATAGAATAATTAGATTGTTTACCCTTCATAAAATGTAACACAAAATGCAGCATTAAAAGTGAACCCAAGATACACACATCATCATGAATAAATTTTACAAAAGTAATAGCTAAAATTAATTTTAAGGCAGAAATATTATTAAATTTAAAGCATACATTTTGAAAAGGAATATATGAATGTATTATATATATGAATGTGTGTGTGTATGTATAAAGAAATACAGAAAATAGTAAATGCAGTAAATGCTGAGTACAAGACACTGGTCACACGGGTTAGGAGAACATCAGGATGAGAAAACAGAATTGTGAGGGGTAAAGAAAGGACTTAACCCTATCTGGTGATAGGATGCAGGTAGAGTGCAAATGGTGGCTGATCATAATGCCTGTAATATTTCTCTTTATTTTTCAGAAAATTGTAGCATAAGAAATAGGCAATAGTGGATTTTCTTAAATTCTGTCTTCCTTGAATTCTAAAACAGTGCCCTCTTGCATTACTTCCTACATCTCCATCTGTGGCTGCACCTCGTTCTCTTAAAGAGGTGCTTTTCCTTTTCCTGAGTTCAAAATATGGATGGTATTTGAGATTTTATATGTGATGTTTTAGATACTCTGTAGTAGTGGTTCTCATATTTAGGCATGCATGAGAGTCATGGGGCAAATTCTAAGTCTTAAACACCAGCATTTCTGCTTCAAAGAGATCTAGAAATATAATTTTTCAATTTGTTTAAAAATATAATTTAAAAAATCATCTTCTCCTTTACAAGACTATTGGATGCTGATGATCCAGGGCTACATTTGGTGAGGCATAGCTCAGTCTTGCTACACCACCTCATTAATACTAATGGCTTCTTCTAACACCTCAACATTGATTACTCTTTCACTTGTATATTCTGGTCAGATAGTTAAAAACAAGGAAACCACCCTAACTGGTTTGGCTCAGTGGATAGAGCGTCGGCCTGCGGACTGAAAGGTCCCAGGTTTGATTCTGGTCAAGGGCATGTACCTTGGTTGCGGGCACATCCCCAGTAGGAGGTGTGCAGGAGGCAGCTGATCGATGTTTCTCTCTCATCGATGTTTCTAACTATCCCTCTCCTTCCTCTCTGTAAAAAATCAATAAAATATATATTTAAAAACAAACAAACAAAGAAAACAAGAAAACCCCACTCCATATATAAGTCCTCACTATGTGCCAGCACTATATTAACTGTATCACACTTATTATTATAAACTAGAGGCCCGGTGCACGAAATTTGTGCACAAAGAGTGTGTGTTCCTCAGCCCGGCCTGCACGCTCTCCAATCTGGGACCCCTGTGGGATTGGGCCTAAACCAGCAGTAGGACATCCCTCTCACAATCCGGGACAGCTGGCTCCTAACCGCTCACCTGCCTGCCTGCCTGATTGCCCCTAACTGCTTCTGCCTGCCAGCCTGATCACCCACTAATCACTCCCCTGCCAGCCTGATTGACGCCTAAATACTCCCCTGCTGGCCTGATCACTCCCAACAGTGCTCCCCTGCTGGCCTGTTTGTCCCCAACTACCCTTCCCTGCTGGCTTGTTCACCCCCAACTGCCCTCCCTGCTGGCCTGATTGCCCACAACGGCCCTCCCCTGCTGGCCATCCTGTGGTGACCATCTTGTGGTGGTCATCTTGTGGTAGCCATCTTGTATTGACATGAGGGTGGCCACCTTGTGGCGGCCATATTGTGACGACGTCGCACGATGCCACCTAGGCTTTTATTACATAGGAAAATCTACCATGACTCCTAGTAGGTAGGTAGAACTACTACTAGCCCTATTTTATAAATGATGAAACTGAAGCAGAGGGAGGTTAATGTGACTCTCCTAATGCTGTATAGATTGGGAGTAGCATCTGAAAAGTAAAGTTTGTTTACAACCAAAATTACCCTTTCTGGCATCACTTTCTCCTTGCTTCCTTAAAATTTGTCTTTCCCTTTTTTTTTTAACCAGAGCCAATTTAGTTAAAATACTGATAAAGAATTTTTTTGAATATAGATTATAAGGCAGAAAGAATTTCTTATTAATGTTTATACCTACAGTGTCTGCCCATTAACATGGTAAAGTTGTGATGAGATTAAATTCCAGGATAGTGTATATTTAACTGGCCCCCAAGGAGTACAGCATGAAATCCAACTCAGTTAACAGTAACTGCATCCAATCACTGAATTTAAATATTGGTAAAAATTGACATAAAACCTAATTGCACAGGAAGTACTTTACTCATGCATAGTTGATGCTGGATACTACAAAGTTTCTATCAGTCTTGGGTCCTAAATATTCTACAAAATAATATAATGTAAATGGCAATTTCACTGTTTTTAGATTTTCAAATTAGATGCATTAAACAAAGGCAAAGTACTGTTATTTCAAAAGATATATAAAAAACATATACAGAATAATTTGACTTCTTATTATTACCTACAGGCACACAGGTTTAATCAAGGTGTACCTTTCTGAATATGTGCAGTACATCCCAAGGAGAGACTGCGGGTATAAGGAGATGCATTACACAAATGATTTCAGTTGGCAGACACATTGATGTCATTATACTTATTACAAGCTTTGAAGTGCATACCTTTATATGTGTTTTAAAAAAGCAATA